TGTGTTGTCGTGGTGGTGTTGTGTGTCGTTGTTGTTGTCGTAGTGTCGTGTTGTCGTGTTGTTGGTGGTGGTGTTGTTGTTGTGTGTTGTTGTGTTGTTGTTGGTGTTGTTGCTAGTGGTGGTGGTTGTTGTTGCTAGTGTTGTTGTTGTTGTTGCTAGTGGTGTTGTTGTTGTTGGTTGTTGTTGTTGTTGTTGTTGTTGTTGTTGTTGTTGTTGTTGTTGTTGTTGTTGTTGTTGTAGTTGTGGTGGTGGTGGTGGTGGATTGGATGGTGTCGTTAGTAAGCCACCATACAGACGTGCATACACACACAAATGCACGTGCACACATGCACACACACGTATGCACACACACACACACGCGCGTGCAGATGTCGCCTGTGAACAGTAGCTTTGGACAGGTGTTGCGGGAAGCGTGTCCACACCCGGACTACAAGCTTCTGCGGCTGCGGTTGGTGCCCCAGATGCCGCCCACGTACCAGGCATTTACGCGATATGAGTGGGCGCCATTGCTCAAGACAGCGTCCGCCATGCTTAATGCTGGTGCGCACCTTGAGGAAGGATTTCACCGCGCGAGACCGCTGCAAAACGCCGCCAGATCTGCAACAGGAACCACAAGGGCACTAGTCACCGCAGCCACTGGCACGGTGGCAGCGCATGCGGCCACAGCAGACCTGACGTCCCAGACGCCGCTGTATCCACACCCACCTGCGGAACCCCCGTTTCTGGCGCCACCACCCGAGGCGCTGGTACAGGGCCGGCACGGCACCGAGGACAACACCAGCACGGCCATTGCTCGGGGCGGCAACGCCTGCGTCTCACAGCTTTACTTCTGCCATGGCACAGACCTCGCCTCAGGTGTGAGAGAGGTGAGAGAGGGTGAGTGGGTGTGAGAGAGACGCACAGACATGCACACACACACACACAGACACACACAGACACAGACACAGACACAGACACAGACACACAGACACACAGACACACACAGACACACACACACACACACACACACACTTTTTTTTTCACACACACACACACACACACACACACACACACACACACACACACACACACCACACAACAAAACAAAGACCCCAAACGCGCTAAATCGTGACAATCCCGATGTGACGTCACATCTTTATTCGTTCGGGTTGATCTGTGGTGGAAATGGTGGAAATGGTGGAAACGTCACGGTTTTTTACTGCGTCTCCGACGTGGTTCTCACAGTTTTGCGTTTTGTCTTCAGGTGCGCTTCGTGATGTGGGCACCACGACTGCGACGCCAAAGGTCTTCGCTTCTCGATCAAACGACCGCACACGCATCGCAGGCAACGGCAAGGCGGTCGCCCTCCTCTCCAACGAGAAGGCTCTTGCCCACCCGCTTGTGAGTTTGAAACCGCGGCCTGGCGTGTGGGTATCTGTGCATGCGTGCATGTGGGTAGGTGCATGGCGTTGGCGAAGATTGTGAGGATGGGTTGAGAAGGGCGAATGGCTTTTCGAAGTCAGGTTTGACCACTATTGTACCTTGATTTCACCCATGGTGTGATGCAACGTCCGCTCATTATCCAGCGCGTGACGTCCTCTTGCTTGAGTGTGAAGTCACCAGCAGCAAAAACACCACAGCTAGCTGCACACCACAACACCATCAAACCAAATCACACCACAAGACCACAAGACTACTACTATTCACACAAACGCGCACGCACACACGCACGCCCTCGCAAACGACCACAGCGTGCTGTGAGTCACAAAGCTTGGCGGTTGTATCGCCACAGGGCTTTCCTTCACCAGTACTCTGCATACGGGTAAGCAGGCATGCATGTCCACGATGCAGCACACACACACACACACACACACAGAGCCTAGCGGTTGATGTGCCGACGAGGCATACTCACTCACTCACGCATCACATCATAGTCATGCACACACACACGCACACGCACACACACACGCACACACACACACGCGCGCGCGCACGCGTATCTTCATCATATCTCATCATGCATCACCACGTCACACGACTACGCAAGCTCACTTTGATTCCCACACATCGCCCACATTTTTTTTCCATACACTTTCCCATCTGTCGTTTTGACCCACCACTGACCCACCACTTGGGTGCCAGGCTGGGGGCCGAGGATCTGCACCAGCACTTCCTTGCGCTGCAGCAGGTGGTGCGCTCGTACCAGTCGCTGTAGCTTGCGCGGGGTGAGCGAGCTCCACTGCTTTCCACCCTGCTGTTTGTCTGGCTTGCCTGTCTGGAGCCGTTGTTTGAGTGTTGTGCGTGCACGCGTGTGGCGTCTTGGATGACCGCGCAACGCCGCTGTCGTCTTGCTTCTCCTGCGGCACGCTTTGCTTGCACTGTGACCAACGCGCGACTTTGCGCGCAACGCTGCAAAAAGTAAAACCGACGGTGACGAAGCACCTGTCTTGCACGTGCATTTTGCGGGTCAGCTTCGCTACCGCAGGCTTCGATTTGTCCCAGGACTCTGTCCCAGCGATCGTCCCACATATTGTCCCGCTTTCCAAGAATCGGTGAGACGAGCGAATTGCTGACCCAACCCTGTCCCTGTCTCTCTCCCTCTTCTGTGCTGTGCTGCTCTTCTCTGCTCTTCTCTCTTTGCCTTCGCTTCCACACACACACACACACAACACGCACACGCGCAAGCGCACAAGCAAGCGAGTCAGCAAGCAATCACAATGTTCCATTCGCTATCTGCTGTTTCTTTGACGCTTCTTCCCCGCTCGCTTCTCTGCGCTTCCTCTTGTCTGTTTTCGTTGTTGGTGGACTGACCTACTGACTGATTGGGCAAGGTCAGCCAACCGCAAGCAAGCAAGCCCCTTCTTGCTTCTTGCATCGATTGTTTTCCCGTGTCGCACCCCCTCTCTTACGCATGCGCACCAGCCACACATTGTCGTCATCACCATCATCATCCCCTGCCTCCTCCTCCTCCTCACCACCACCACCACCACCACCGCTTGCTTGCTTGCTTGCTTGTTTTGCTGGTTTTGTCTCTTCACGCACCCGCAAAACACCAAAACACTCGCTCGACGCTCGCCCACGAACGAAGAAGAAGACTTGCTTGCAATTCGTTGCATTAGTGTGACTGCCTGCCGGCAGCTTGTCTTGCTTCGTGTTGTGCATCAGGTGTGTTGTGCCAGCGTGCTTGATCATCCGCATCACCTCCCCCACCATCATTGCTTGCGGGCTGCCCGTGAGCTGTGGTTGCCTCGAAACCTTTTGATCCCCTCCCTTGTTTAAACACACTTGCACAAACCACCCAACACACTGCCTTGCCTGTTTGGTGACTCAACCTGGCTGATCTCGTTCTTCCTTCCTTCCTTCCCCTACTTCCCCCCTTCCTTCTTCCCATCCGTTCGCGTCGCTCCTTCGTTTGCCTGCTTGCTCTGCTTGCTTGGTTGATGCAACACACCCCCCCTCTTGCCGTATCCACGGCCTCGCCTCCCCCTTTTCCTCCGACCGTTCGTGACGTGTGCTCCTTGCTTGCTTATGTTCTCAATCATCCATTCACCCTCACCTCTCCTTTCAACTCACCTCTCTCCACACCCTATCCTTGTTTCATCCCACCTATATCGCCCCCTGACCTCAAAACCCCAACAGCCCCTCCAAACAAACACAACGCCGCAAGCCGCTCCAACGCCAAGCAAATCAGCGACCTTTCTTTCCCAGGAGTGGCTGTCATCGATCGGTCAAGCCAGGTGAGAGACTATGCCATGCGCTTGTGTCTCGTGAGCGTTCATCACATCACACAACACGCACATGCGCATGCACACACGCACACACGCAGACGTGCATGCACATTTATGCTTGTTCATTCTCACGCTTCAGCTCTTCCATTCTTGCTGCGGCTTCTTTGTCTTCTTCGTCTTGGCCTTGTTGTTGTTCGCACTGTTGTTCTTCTTCGGCCACTGCTGTCGTTCTCAGACAAGGCTGCACCGTAAGTCTTGCGTCCACCCGAGGCAACGGTCACAACGCAAACAACCACTCAATCAATCAACACTGCCTTGCGACCAACCAACAACAAGCCCTCGTCTCCTCCAACTCCTGCTCCCATTGCGCGCACGTGTCTGTGAGTGAGCTCTGTGACAAGCAAAGAGGCCCAAACCGTTTTGTGGAATGCCAACTCCTGGCGCCGACAGCGGCAAACGCAGCACACGCACAACCAGCAGCAGTCGTACAGCTGTCGCTTCCGCTGCTCCGGGTCCCCAGCAGCAGCAGCAGCAGCCCAACCTCTTTGCTCAACAGCATCGCACCATGCAGGTCGCAACAGCTCTGCCTGCCTCGTTTGCGCTGGCGCAGCAACATCAGCAGCATCCCTTCCACCAGCCCTATGCTGGCATGCACCCCGCAAGTATGATGGGTGGCGCCTTCCCACAACAACAACAACAACAACAACAACATCAACAACAACATCAACAACAACAGCAACTCGCTGCCTTGTATGCAGCTCAACAACAACAACAACAACAACAACAACAACAACAACAACAACAACAACAACAACAACAACAACAGCAGCAGCAGCAGCAACGGCCTCCACCCATCGTTCACCCTGCTCTCACCCCCGCCCAACTCCAGCATCAGCAGCAGCAACAACCACAACAACAACAACAACAACAACCACAACAACCACAACAACAACAACAACAACCACAACAACAACCACAACAGCAAGGATACCTACCCACCCCAGCCTTTCCTCAGCAGCTGGCAGGGGGCGGCACGCTGACGCAATACGTCCAGCCCCACTCTGCCTTGCCTGCAGGCACCGATCCGCGCCTCTTCGCCTACATGATGGCCGCCGGCATGCCTGCACCGGGACAAATGCCGTACATGGCAACACCAGCATCCTTGCACGGAAACCCAATGCTTCCTGGCCCAGCCAACCCATACTTTCCATCCTCCCTGCACACCTGGCAAGCGCAGCGGCAATCCCTTCAGCCCGAGCAGCTCCAACAATACCAACAGCACCCTGCCCAGGTACAGTTACCAGGAACCCAGACAACACCAGCTACCACAGCAACACCAACAACAACAACAACTCTGCCAGCCGCATCACAGCAACAGGCCCGCAACCACTCCCTGCGGCTCACGCAACAGCGCCAGCACGATCAACAACAACACCGCTTCCTCTACGGGGGCGCCATGCAGCCCAGCGCATACGTGGCAGGTGCACCGAACCAGCTCGGCATGCCTGCACCGACCCATCCGCTCTACGCCCTCCAGCAACAGCAACAGCACCTCCAACAACAACAACAACAAGCATATCCCTTCCATCAGCAGCAGCACCCGCAGCACCCCGCATACGCTGCTCCCCACGCAGGGCCCACCTCACCAACAGGCTCTGGCTTCACCATGGCGTCCAGCGCAAGCGTACAGGAGCGCTCTGCTGCCGTCGCTGCTCAAGCTGCAGTTGCCGCCTCTGCGGGCCGCCGCGTCAGCCAGGAGGAGCTCAGGGCGCTCTGGCGCGTCGACTTTCGTGATGGCGAGCGCTGGTTCGTCTGCAACGTCTGCGAGCGTGCCTTCCGATGGTCGTCCAACCTCAAACGCCACCTCCGCGTCCACACAGGTACTGTTGGCGTGCTTTGAAAGCCGCCGTGGTTCTGTGTATGTTCTTGTTGTTGTACAGCTGTGCATGTTCTTGTTGTAGTACTGCTGTGCATGTTGTCGGAGCAGTTGTTCTGTGTTGTTCCGTCTCTTGCTGCATCACGTGCGCGATGTTCTATTGGCTTTGTTCCAGCTGTGTGTGCGCCAGGTTGTTATTCTCTTGTGGTCCTGGTTTCAGCTAGAAGCACTGTCTCGCTCGCAAGCTTGCTCAGTGGAGTTGTATTGCTGTCATTGGTGTCTCGCTGTTACCCTCCAACAATCACCACACACACACATACACACACACACCTCCTTCCTCCCAACTCTGTCTCTGCAGTGTTGTGTGTGTGTGTTTGTCTTTGTTTTGTCATGAGTCTATTCCTGCCGCGTCACCTCAACTGTTTGAAAAATTTTTTTAATCCCGTCACCTGTCCTCAACACATCCAACTTGCGACCATGCTCTCACTCGAATGCCATTGGTTGATGCCCGTGCCAGGTGAACGCCCTTACAGCTGCCGCTACTGCGCCGCCGCTTTCACCAACAGTTCAAACCGAAACAAGCACGAGCGCATGCATTCGCGCGACGAACAACACGCGAGCGAGCACGCAGTGGGCACGGCACTAGGTCGCTCCAGTCGTTCCCAGTCGTCGTCATCCGGTCCACGCACTGTAGCAACGGCACCAGCACAGCCGGCAGTAGGCTTTTCGGCGCAGTCTGGCACAGCTCCCCCGCCCAAGAAGAGCAAGCGCGCGCAGGCATCACCAGTTTCACCGTCGATACCGCTGCCGGCACAGCCGCACTCGCAGCGCGCCCCTACGCAAGAGGCGACGCGTATTGCAGGATCTGTGGGTGCGGATGCTCATCCTCACTCTCCCACCCACCACGCACGAAGTTCGGGACAGGGCAAGTCAACCGCACGAGCCCGCGGCAAGCGTGAGGATGACGACGACGATGACAGTGATGATGAGGATGGGGATGGCAGCAGCAGTGACAGCGACAGCAGCAGCGACGGCAGTGCAAGTGCCGAGCACAACCACCGTGACAGCCATGACGTTACGGGCCCACGCGGCCAAGATGGAATGCCATCCTCTTCTCGTGCAAGGGAAGGCCGCTCCACCCGGCACTCTGCATCGTCATCATCGTCATCATCGTCATCATCCAAGTCCAATTCATCTTCCTCTTCATCTGCCGCCTCATCACTGCCGTCTCCGCCATCAAGGACATCCTCTTCGGTTGCTTCGTCTTCTGGCCGTGCGGCTGCACCAGCGACAGCAGCAAAGACAACACCTGCGGCAACGACAACGACAACAACTGCGCCAACTAAACAGCCACCCACAGCACCTGCCTCCACGGCCTCCACCAGGGCCGGGCCGTTGCAAGCCGCAACAGCAGCAGCACAAGTTGCCGCTGAAGCCAGCGGGGAGCACAAGCTTGCGCGGTCCACTGCGGCCCCTGCTGCCTCTGCTGGGCACAAACGAAAGCCGGCTCCACTCTCCACCTCCTCCATTGGCTCCGAGGATCTGCCTCTAAACGCGGGTGCAACGGCAATGGACGGCGCTGTTGCCAAGCCGCACTCACCTGCCCCGACACGGCCGGAAGCGTTGGCATCGGGGGACACGCCAGCCGTTGCATCAGCAAAAGGGACCATTCTTGATGTTGCAAGTACGGGATCGACGACAGATGCAACGACGACGACGACGACGGCCAAAACAACAGCCACTGCAGTTGATACAACAACAACAGCGACAACAGCAACAACAGCGACATCAACCACGACCACAACCACGACCACAACCACGACCACAACCACCCCAACCACAGCCGCTGCAGTGACCACCGGTTCGGGCGTAGTTGCGAATCCAGACGAGTTGGCAAACATGCTGCAACAAGAAAAAGTTGAAGTGTTGTCCTCGAAGAACGGTGTTGACTCGTCCGACAACAGCGGGACTCGCACCACCAAATCCAGCCTATCGGTTCCAGCAACCCCCTCCACCCCAAGCTAATCCACTCATGGCTTTGTTCCATGTTACATACGCCATGTTCTTCATGTTACATATACGCCTGTCCACTGTGGATGACACAGTGTCATGTTGCCATTTTTGTGTCGATTGCGCCACCGTGCTCTCTCCATAGGCGTGTGTCAGCGTCGCTCTTCCTGAACCGCGCTGTCTACTCTTTGTTCTGTGGCAGCGGCAGCAGCGTGCATGAGGTGCATGTTCGCTGTGTATTGCACGCAATTTACACATGCACCGTTGTCACACCACATGCTTGTGCTTGTCTTCTTTGCTTTTGAACCATCCTTGTTTTGATGGTTGCAGTTTGTCTCATGTCATTTGCGCGTTTAAATGCATTTAGCACAAATAACATTGCATCAATGCTGCAATCTTGTTTGCCTCCTGACTTTTTTGAGCTTGTGCTGGTATCGATTGTGTTGTGGTGGTATTGTGTTGTGATGTGACTCCACTCTTTTAAACGGTTCGGGAATGCGTGACTCTCTTCACACATGTTGTGCGGCCCCACCAACACGTCGTGACAACGTAGCAATGAAAGCAACTTTGGTACGTGGGGTATGTGGGTTGGCAGTGCATGATGTGCCGTTCTTCCTGTGGCTTGCGTTTCACGTAAAGGTTGATTGACTCTTGTACTTTGGGTTGATGCCGGTATGATGGTGGTTGACGTGAGCGCCTTAAATACCGATAAGCACGTGCATCATGCTGGTGTTGAGCACACCGCAGCAGGATGTGGGTGTCTGATCATGCATGTGGCAAGAAAATTACGGTCCATTGCATCTCATGTGCGTCGAAGGAGTGACAGAGGAGTGGGAAGACTTGTCAAAACAGTTGTGTGTGTGTGTGTGTGTGTGTGTGTGTGTGTGTGTGTGTGTGTGTGTGTGTGTGTGTGTGTGCGTGCTGTCCTAGTCTTTGGCAAATGAAAGTGGATAACGCCTGAAGGCACGTTCAAAGTGCTGCGGCGTCCAGTTGTCGGGCTGACAAGAGCACGTGCATAAGGTTGCAGCGTGTTAGTACAGTATTGCACCATGCCATATTGCAGCACACAACACAACACAACACAACACAACACAACACAACACAAGACAACACAACACAACACAACACAACACAACACAACACAACACAACACACACACACACAGCCACCTCATATCCCAGACCTGAAGTGCATCCAAGAGACCAAAGTTGTTTACGCGCGTCCTGATGAGCGTGGTCACGCTCGCGTGGCTGTCGAGGGCTGCAGGTGGTGTAGCGTGCGTTCGTTGTGCGTTGCGGGTGAGAGTGTGTTGACGTGTAGGAGAGGGCTGAGCAGGTGGGAGCGTAGCAAAGGAAAAAAGCAAGGAAGGATACCGTCAGGGGGACAGTCACACAGACACACAGCCACAGGCACACACGGACACACACACACACACACACACACATCACACAGGCACACACAGACACACACACACACACAGACATCACACAGACACAGACACACAAAACACAGCACAACACACACACACACACACACACACACACAGAGGGTCCCACAGTTGTTAGCATACCTGTTCCAAGATCATGGACGAGGCTGCGCACGTAGAGACCGGACTTGCAAGCGATATGCAGCGTCACCTCTGGCGGAGCAAAATAGCACAAGTCAAGCTGTGTGACGTGCACGAGCCTTGCGCGTGGCTCCACATGCACGCCAGCGCGCGTGTAGTCTGACAATCGCTTTCCGTGGATTTTGAGGGCGGAGAACAGCGGTGGTGTCTGCATGAACTGTCCACGGAACTGATGCAATGCGCTCTGCACCACAATGAGGCGCGGGAGATGTGAAAAAGGAGAAAGTGTGTGCGATTGTGTGTTTGTGTTTGTGTGTGTTTTTGTGATCGATCGAGCATGAATGCTTTGTCACTTGAGGCACTGGCCAAGAGATGATGCATGCCGTGATCTGATTATCACACACACACACACACACACACACACACACACACACACACACACGCACGCAACATCAGTGCTCTGTACGCACCAACGTCTGCGCGAGGGAGATGTGCTGGAACGGGGACCGGGCTGTCACGGCGCCGTCCATGTCGTATGTGTCTGTCTCCTTGCCCAATTCAGCCGTCACCTATGTGTTTGCCGCAGATCAGCAGTTATTGAACACAGGCATCGAACACAGGGAAGCAAACAAGGAAGCAAAGAAGGAACGATGATGAGCAAGCGGCGCCGGTCGTTCTGGCTTGAGGGCAGCTGCGCTCCACCCATCGACGCAGTCACACACACACACACACACACACACACACACACACAGATCCGCATCCCATTGCGTTGATTTTGAGAGAACCCTGCGTTTAGTGACCTTCGGACACTATTCCAGATATGTGGCCACGCACTTATAAAACATGCAACTAACTTACAAGTGTACGAAGCCGGCGAGGATCCAGATGCTTAGCTTGCTGTATGGAAGGGTGTAGCACAGATGTACGGGCACGATAATTTCGCAGTGGAGAACGTCTCTCTTTCTGCAGATTGAAATGTTATTCGTGCACTTAGAAACACGACACACACACACACACACACACACACACACACACACACACACACCTACACACACACACACACACACAACGGATAGAGGAAATGAACGTACCACGTACTCTTTCGTTCCACCGAGAAAGTGCTTGAGATGCTTGCATCCATGCCCAACACCAATCACAAGCACGCCTTCTGCGAGCCGATCCAAAGTTCCGCCGTGCCCGACCTTCAGCCGCTTTGGTGGCGCAGAGGTGTGCTCGTTCTCGGCGTTTGGTGGCTGCTGTGCTGCTGCCAGTGCTTCTTTCTGCATGGTGCGGCGGGCGTTTGTCCATGCTGTCGTTGTCAGCACAGCAAGTCATGCACCAAACACGAACAAACAAACACGCAGACGAACAGACAGACGTGCGCATCACGCACATACACACACACATATACACACATACACAGAGACGAACAAACATCAACAGACACACGCACCATTGCATCCTCACACACACGCACACACACGCACACACACACATACACACACACACACACACACCCTTGCATCCTCACACACACACAACACATGTCATGCGCACCTGGTGCGTGCGGAGGATTCGTTTGATGATGGCCACTGTTTTGGCAGATGTCATGCCACGTGGCTTGTACACGGCGCACACCCCGTGCATCATCATCCTTGCACACGCTCACAGACAGAGCCAACCACCTCCTTCAACGTGGTCCTTGTGCTGATCACGCACATGACACCCGCAAGCAAGGGTTGCGAGCGAGCAAGGGCGCGATTGTGGCTTTGTTCCGGCGAAAATTACATGATATCACCATCAAATCGTCCAAACTGGGCTGGTGTACGTGCGTGTGATTCTCATAACAAACAAGCAACAGCTACAACAATCATCCAATCATGAGAGCGAGAGCGAGCGATAAGCGAGCGAGGCGAGGAGGAGGATGGTTTTTGGGCGTGGGTGGGGAAGCACGTTCTAGTGTCCACTAGCTCGTGAGGCCTGAAAGCAGATCAAAGCACACGTTGCACACGCGCACGGGTTTGTCCAGCTTGAATTTGACAATGGGCGTTTTCTTCTGCGAGCACTTGTCGCACAGCACCCGTCCACAGTGGCGGCTGCAAACACGGTAAATGTGTGTGAGAGAGAGAGAGAGAGTGTGTGTGTGTGCGTGTGCGTGTGTGTGGTGTGTGTGTATGTGTGTGTGTGTGAGTATGTGTGTGTGTGTGTGAGTGTGAGTGTGTGTGTGTGAGTGCGTAAGTTTGTGTTTGTCATCAAAGTGTGTGCACGTGTGTTGTGCGACGTGAAGAGTCGACAGGACAGTGTTTAGTTTAGCAGCTGAACAGGTACAACTACAAAACCAACGAAAATCACGAAAAACATGTGGGTGCGGGCAGTCACCATCGTACCAGTGATGTCTGCGCGTGCGCGTGCCAAACTTGACATTGCATTCCTGTTCAAAGAAAGGTCACAAGGCGCACACATCCAATCAGAGACACGAACGCCACGCACCCGAATAGAATGCACATCGGATTCCTTTCCCTTCTGACTGAAGCACCCACAAACAACCACATTCGAGCAACACAACTTCCCCCGCCCCCTGCTCGCTCACCTGGCAGTATTCCCCCTCGGCCCACGGCTGTTCCCAGGGCAAGTCGCCTGCAATGCAATTCACAACAAATCCACATCAATCGATCTAACGTGCGAGCGTGTTCTCACGATGACAAGCACACATGTACGCATGTACACACATAGGTGTGTACACACAGACACACAGACACACACACAGACATACGCACACACAGACAAATACACACACACACACGCACACACACACACACACACACACACATACACACCGAGGAGTTTGAAAAGGAAGCGGCGATCCTTTCCCGTAACAGAGAAGCACGTTTCGCCTGCACGACACAGACCACATCGCGAGAACAGCAGAGCACGTGATCATGAGCTGATGGTGCCGCGATCGACACAGGCGGGCGCTGTGCCATGAATATGCGCACGCACACAAATAAGCGAGCAAGTAAGACCAACCAACAAATAAGATGTGCTCCTTCTCCCCCGGCCACATGCCCAAATCCATATCCACAGACAACACACACACCTCCCAATTCCATCCCAAATCCATATCCACATACAACACACACACCTCTCAATTCCATCCCTCACCCACCCACACACACACACCTCTCAATTCCATCCCTCACCCCCCCCCCAACACACAGTCTTTCCATCCCATACACATCCCCACATGTGCACGCACGCTGGTGGTTTGCAATGTTGAGCTGTGCGCCGTTGACAACGAGGGCGATGCAGAGGCGGCCGGCACCAGGCATGCTCCTGTTCTTGTACGCCAGCAGCAGCGCCGTGTTGCCCTGCCCGTCGGTTGCGTTGAGCACACGCTTCATCTGCGTGTATGCCAACTGCAGACCACGCGTGCATCAAAGGCAAGCAGAATGGAGAGAGAGTGTGTGTGTGTCGGCGGTGGTGAAGCGGACAGCAGGAGGAGTTGTGAGAGGGCGTGTGAGGTGTGTGGCTGGGAAAAAATGCCAAAAAAAACAAAAAAAAAAAAACATGTGCAGCGGGGAGTGCTGCAGTGTGTTCGGCACCTGTCACGAGCACGAACCTGCTAAACTAAACGCACGTAGACACACACAAACACACACACAGACACACAAACATACAAACACACACACACAGATACAAACACACACACACAAACATACAAACACACACACACACAGATACAAACACGCACACACACACACAAACATACATACAAACACACACAAACAACATACAAACATACATACAAACACACACACACACACATACACTCTGTTGCACGACGCGCTGGCACCACGCTCACCTCCAGCAAGCGCGTGGCGTTTTGCTTTGGAAATTGGCCGAGCACATGGAGGGCTGTCTCGCCCTAATGTTGGAGTGATCGAAATGCCATGTGTAAGCAAGAAGGACAAGTGTGCGTGTGATTTGATGAATAGCAGGGTCACGTGACGGGTCACAGCACCCTCATGGAGGTGCACTCGGTTGGTGCTGCGTGTCAAAGGTACAGGAACGAACATCTTCACCAGCAGCACCAGCACCAGCACCGTTGGTAAACTCACTGCGTTGTTTGTACGCGTCGGGTCGAGATCAACATCCTCGGCCATCAGCTGCTGCACCACTGCCTCGTGGCCAGCACGCATGGCTGCATGCAGCACGCCATCCTGACGTGGAAACAAGCCCAGGGGTGGCGGTGGTGACGACGACGATTGATGATGATTGATGATTGGCGATGATGATAAAGAGCCACAGCGCGTGTAAGATGGGCATTGACTGACCAATACGAAAGCACAACTAGAGGCTTGTTAACACACAGGTTCTTATACAAACACACACAGACAGACAAACAGACATACAAACTCCACAACGTGTGCACTTACGCCCTGGAAGTCTGTGGCGTTCATGTCTGCGCCGTGCTTGATGAGTTGGTCGAGGACGAGGCCGCAGTTCAGCGACGCCGCCATGTGTGCAACTGCAGTAGTGGAGGAGATGTGCAGGAAACAAGCGTGCACACAGGCACACAGGCATGTACGCACACACAAACATAGACGTACACACACACACACACACACGCATGCACGTACACACGCAAACATACACGCAAGCACAGACGCATGCACGTATACACGCAAACATACACGCAAACATAGACGCATGCACGTACACACGCAAACAAGCGTGTACACAGGCACACATGCATGTACGCACACATACACACACATACACACGCATGCACGTACACACACAACCATAGAACAACATCAGCAGCAAGTTGGGTAAAATGCATGTGTGAATGGTGTGGTCTGTCCGCAGAACACCCAACACAACGTGCTTCTCTTCCATGCAACGTGCACATGCATTAGACATAATTGCAAAACGTCACAGTGCACATTCACCACGATCATCACTATTACCTGTCCATCCACTCATTGCGTCTGGAATGTCGTGCCGCGCGCCCGCTTTGAGCAGCTTGACTGCCTCGGCTTCCAAGCCGCGCTCAACGGCAATTGCAAGCGCAATGCGTTGTGACGGGTCCTGTGTGCACGGACGCAAGAGAAGAATGGCGGTGAGTTGGCGAGGCACCGCGCCACACGCACTCGCAGCACCCCGCGCAATTTGTTTCCATCTCCCCCTGCATTTCACTCTTCCGCTTCCCTTCTTCTCACCATCACACGAACAAACAAACAAACAAACAAACAAGCCCCGCCAGCGCGCTGCACACACGTCAATGCGGGCGTTGACGTCGACGCCAAGTTTGATGAGAACGTCGACATCCTCAGCAGCACCGGCCGCGAGGGCGGCGTGGAGATACGTCATGCCGTTGTGGTCACGTTCCTCGATGGCGTCTTCGTTGATCTGCAGCAGCTGTGTACATATGTCGTACTGCCGCATGTGCAGCGCAACGCCAAACAGCGTCCGGTCCTCATCGTCGCGGATCTGGTGTGCACATATGTGTGTGTGTGTGTGTGTGTGTGTGCGTGCGTGTGTGCGTGTGTGTATGTGTTGTGAGTGGATGGAGGGGTGAATGGACATGAATGGAATGCAAAACACGGATGTGTGCAAGTTGATGGAAGCGCCAAACAGGGATGAATGGCAATGACAGATGAGTGACGGGTGGGGTGGTTGCATGATGAGAAGATCAAATTGATGATTGCTCATGAAGGCGTTACGTGACGAGCGGCCTCAAGCCATCAAAGAAATGTCCAAACAAAACCGTGAAAATGAACAAGTTCAAAAGTGCAATCACATTGCACATCAAAACGCATATGAACGTCAATCAAACCGCCTACCGCTGGGCGCAGTTTCGGGTGCACCAGCAAGTTTGCAGCGACATCCGTGTGTGATTTGTACAAACACCTGGTTGATGGTTAGTGTTCAGGCATCAAGCAAAGGTTAGGAGGGCTGTAATGCGCGTAGTTATGAATGCATGTGCACAACGCGAATGAAATTCATGCGAATTACAAGAAGCTGCAATGAACCTGGCACAACCTACATGTCAACAAAATGTACGCACATACACAGACACACACGCACACACACGCACATACACGCACACACACAGACACACACGCATCACCTGTGCAGTGGTGTCTGCAGGTGGCGATCCTGAGCATTGATGTCCGCGCGATTGCGCAACAGCTCTGTAATCAAAGGCATCACCTGCTCGCACGACAACATGGGAAGAGAAACGGGTTCCAATCGTTTTCACGCGTCGATGAGGGGTGCCATTGCTTGCATGCAACATGTGGTGCGATGCCGCGCGCACGCATTCGTCTGCGTGAATTGTGAACTGTGTAGCACGTGCAAGAGAATGCAAAGGCAAAGCGCAAGCTGTGCTGTTTCACAAAGGGATGACAACACAATATCACCTCAATGCCGACACTGCAGGCAATGTGCAGTGGTGTTTCCATGTCTGCGTTGTTGCTCGCATTCACGTCTGCTCCGTGCCGCATCAGAAACAGCGCCGCAAACTCGTCCTTGTCCGCGATCGCCTTGGAAAACCAGACACACAAGAAAGGATTGGTGTGTGTGTGTGTGTGTGTGTGTGTGTGCGTGCGTGTGCGTATGAAAAAATGATATATGTGTGAGGGTTATGGCAGGCTGCAGTGAAACCAGCACTCGTTTCAGATTCAGCGTTCACATAAACGAAATCAAATCCGAAAACACAACACAACACACACACACACACACACACACACACACACACACACACACACACACACACACACACACACACACGCACGCACACACACACACACACACACACGTTCCATCAAATCTACCTTGTGCAGTGCAGTGAGACCTGTCTCTGCATCGGTAATGTCCACGTCGCACTCGTGGCGAACGAGAATGGACGCAATCTCCTCCTAGCGTTGAGGTGTGCAATCGCAAGCCAGCAACAACGCAGAACACACACACATGTGTGAAAGACGACACAATAACACGAAGATAAGCAAAGTTGGCACAACAACGAGAGGGAGGGGAGGTGAGTGTTGTTGCAATAGTGGCCGTTGCAAAATCACATGTCAAAAGCAGAACATTCGTGTGTTTATGCATGAAAGCGATGATGATGACGGTATGTTCTTGTTGTTGTTGTTTAAGTTGTTGTTGTTGTTTAAGTTGTTGTTGTTGTTGTTGTTGGCGCACCTCTCGTGCTCGTAACGCCTGCAGCAGCGGCGTTGCTTTCCCTTCAACGCTGCGATTTACGTTTGCGCCGCACTCGCACAACTTCGTGGCGATGGCGGGCTGGCTGTGGCGGATGCACAGCTGTCAGATAGGCGCATTGTGGCAGAGGAGGCGGAGGGGAGGCGGAGGGGAGGCGGAGGGGAGGTAGAGGGGAGGAGTGAATCAAGACAGGTCATTGAACGATAACGACAACGGAAAGCAGCGCTAGCGATCGAACCAGCACCCACGAACAACATAGCACTGACAGCGACGTATTCAGATGAAACAACTGCCACCACAACCACAAACACCGCCACCACCGCCACCAACAACTGCCACCACCGCCACCATCACCACCATCACCACAAACACCGCCACCACCGCCACCATTTGAGGGGCTGACCGTGAGTGGGGTCTCGTTGTCGGCGCTGGCTGCCTCAAGGTCTGCCCCGTTGTCGATGAGGAACGCCGCTGCCGCCACTCGACCGTGGCGGATTGCATCATGCAGCAGCCCGTCACCGTTTGGCAGTTGTGTGTCAATGTCTACACGCAATGCGTTGGCATGAGTGCACATAGAGCAGTTTTTTGTGGTGTGTATGGAATTGTGTGTTGTTTGGTTGTGTGTTGTTTGGTTGTGTGAATATGTGAGTCATCGCGTGAGTGACTGTGAGTGTGAGAAGGTCGCAGGGCGACAAGCTGACGCGCCACAAAAAAAAAAAAAAAAAGAGCACAAAGCGTAACCAAACTCCACCATGCAATCAATCAACACTTGATTCAATTCGTAGTGCAAGTTATGGTGTGTACTCACTTGCTCCCTTTTGGAGGAGAAGGTAGCAGATTTCATCCATGACGTCATCCTTGACGCATAGGCCGAGCGCTGTCCTGCCTTCCGTGTTCTTCGTCTCCAAATCAATGCGGGGCGTTTGCAACAGGCGCGCAACAACTGCACATGTGTGTGTGTGTGTGTGAACAATACGGGCATGTAAGAACATGTGCACACGCGTTGTGCATACATGTGTGCATGTGCACCTGCTATCCTCGAAACGCGTGCACGCCGCGCAATCACAACAGGGCAGCGTCGTCAGCAACTCGCCACAACAGTGTTGCCAGCGTGCGTGCGTGCGTGCGTGTGTATGTGCACCTGGCAGCTTGTTGTTTGTGACCGCCGCCATGAGTGGGGTGGACATGTCCGTGTCCTGTGCATTGGCGGGCGCCCCTCTCTCCAGCAGTTTGGCAACAACAGCGTCTGCACACATGTATGTTGCCACCGTGGAGGTGTTTGCAGGACGAGACACGGGGTGGTGAGCGGACACAGACCAAAGATGGCCATGGTTGATAGCAGCAGGAGGGCAAAATGCAAATGCAAAAGCGAGCATCAGCACACTTCCACGCGGACACACTTCCACGCAGACAGACGGACAGACAGACACATTTACACGCAGACACAAGTGGCAGAGTCCATCAATGTGCCCGCGCGCTCGCGCGGGAAGAGGAGAAACGGACCGTCACCAGCGGCAGCAGCGAGATGCAGCGGTGTCCGCTGTTGCTCGTCAACGACATCCACAGCACAGTTGTGATCCAGCAGAAACAAGGCCGCGTCGGTCTTGTTGCATCTGGCATGCCGAAACAAGTGTTGGAGGTTGCGTGTCGAACAGGGAGGGGTTAGTTTGCGGTTGCACACATTCAGTATTTGTGACTTCTCCACCATCTTGTTGTTGTTGTTGTTGTTGTTGTTGTTGTTGTTGTTGTTGTTGTTGTTGTTGTTGTTGTTGTTGTTGTTGTTGTTGTTGTTGTTGTTGTTGTTGTTGTTGTTGTTGTTGTTGTTGTTGTTGTTGTTGTTGTTGTTGTTGTTGTTGTTGTTGTTGTTGTTGTTGTTGTTGTTGAAGTTGTTGAAGTTGTTGTTGTTCAAGACATGCCGTGTGACATCATGACATCCCACGAGAGAGGCGACAAAGCGTATGTACGTGAACCCCCTCCCTTCTCCACCCATCACAAGCATCGTCCATCACCAATCATCGACCATGTCAGTCGTATATTTCCTTGTTTACGTACCTGATTGCATCATGCAGCATCGAGTCCCCGTTTGCTGCTGTGACGTCAACACTGCACCCGCGACGCACCAGATCAGCGGCGAGCGCATGCGAATCAAGCGACAGCGCCAGCCACAACGCAGAGTGGCCCTGATGTGGTTAATATAGAGGGAGGTGCAGGTGGGTGGTGGCGGTGAAGATGAGTGGCGTGGTGAGAAAGTTGCAGAGTTGGAACAGCCACGACAGCAATGGTGGTAGTAATGCCAATTGAATGCTCATGATGGTAGTGGCTGCGCTTTGTGTGACGGTGCTTGCCGTGCAGTTCACGAATAGTATTGCATGAGCGGTGGTACGGAAACATGGGCTTCCCACCACAAGTGCAGTGAGTAAAAGGCGTGGTAGGTTGGTGGTACCTCTGCGTTGCGTTCGTCCGGATGAATGCGATCACAGGAGAGGAGCGTGCGTGCCGTGTCTGTGCTCTGGCTCTTCACAGCGCAGTGCAGCGGTGTGTTGCCTTCTCCGTCCTGTTGTTTGATGGAACAATCGAGCAGTGGCAATGGCAGAGCAATGGGGAGATGCGTGGTGCGAGGGTGTGCGGTGTGGTGGCGGTGAGATGTGCGGTGTGCAATGGCAAATTACAGCGGGGGAGTGGAAGGTTGCGTACATGAGTGAAGACAAACAGGAGCCAGCAGTGGCAAGGGGGAATCGAGATAATGGAGAGATTGGTTCATGGGGTCAGACAGTCCACCATCCAATCGATTGCTACACCACCTGCGTGTTTGGATCTGCGTTTGCGTCAAGGAGGGCGGTGGCTGCATTGGCAAGATTCGTTGCGCCGGCAATGTGGAGCGGCGTCTGACCAGCTGCATCGACCGCAGTCACATCAGCACCGCGCTGGTGTTGGTGGTCGGTGGTCAGTGGGTAGTTGGGGGTTGGTGGGGGGAGATGATGGGAAGAGCATTGTGAGGTCGGTGTTCGTACGCACAACCGTTCGGTCAGAGAGGGAGAGAGAGAGAGAGTGTGTGTGTGTGTTTGCTTTATGCCTGCAAGGAGAGCAGAGCAGCACCTCGATAAGGAAGCCGGCAGCAAACAATTTCCCCTTCTGCACGGACTGATGAAGCAGCGAGGCGCCACTCGAATCTATGTGTCAAGGGGTGGTGTTGAGGTGGAGGGTGCGGTGAGTGTTGTTGTTGGTGGTGGTGAGGGACGAAGTGGATGAATTTTGAGGCTTGGTCACGCTGCATGTGATCAACGAGAGAATCCGATGCAACCCGGATTCAAACACGCACGCACACATACACGTGTACACTGTTCACGGGGCAGTGTGGTGGTCACAACTGCCGCGACCCACTTTTGACGTTGAGGCCCGCGCCGTGCTGCACGAGCGTGTCTGCAATCTTCTCCTGTTCGCTCTCCAGCGCAATTTGCAGCGCTGTTTCGTCGTCATCATCAAGCTGGACGGGGAGTGACCACACACACACACGCGCACACACACACACACACACACACACAACACACACAGACAGACACAGACACACACACACACAGACAACACGCACAGACACACACACACAACACACACAGACACACACGCACACAGAAACATACACATACACAAACAACACACACACACACACACAGACACACACACAGACAACACACAATACAAACGTGTTAATGTGCTTACGTACGTAGATGTGTGTCTGTATGCACTCATGTGTGTACGTTGCTGGCATGAATGCAGTGCATGGTATGCACACACACACACACACACACACACACACACACCTGGTCAATCACTGCAGGCAGGTCCGCGTCGTGTTCGAGCAAGAAGAGGAAGATCACATCCTCACGGTTCAACTTCACGGCCGTGTGCAGCGCAAACGCTGTTTTCTCCTTCACCTGTGTACACGCATGCAAGCAACGGACAGGCAGAGAGAGAGAGGAGGGGGGGAGAGCACGTACAGTGGGTTGAGCATGTACATGCGCGTATGTGCATTTGTGCCTCCGTGTGTGCATTGCATGGTGCTGGCGTGCACGTGCACATGTCCCAGAACGCTTCAACACCACAATGATATTGACAGCGCCAGCCCGGACGAACCACGCGGAAGAGGAGGTCTGCTGCTACGGCGTCAAAGTCGCGCCTCTCATACTGCTGCCAATGCGAGACGATAAATCCAGTCGCATACTACAGCCCATGGTGTGTGTACATGGGAGTGTGCGTGTGCATGTGTGTGCATGTGTGTGTGTATGCGTTGGTGAGCCGCAAGAGTATGGTGAGCGTTGCCTGCCCACGCACACATACACACATACATATGTACACACATATACATACAAACATCGAGAAATAAGAGCGAAGAGACGTGGCTGCACACCTTGAGCAACCCTTCCTCCTTAACGTCGTTTGCGAGATTCAGGATTGAGATGCTGTTGTCCACGTGAATGTCAGACACCGCTCGCTCGCCGCACCTGATATTCAATCATACACACACACACACACACGCACACACACACACACACACACACACACACACACACACACACACACACACACACACACACACACACACACACACACACACACACACACACACACACACCTGTACAGAGAGGACTTGCAGAGCGATCGCACTGTGCGCTGGAGCGCAGCCAGGAGGGAGTCTGACGAAAGGGTCTCCGGGTTGCTGGCTGCGAGCTGCGCCTCCAGCGCAGAGTATCGTTGCTGCCACAGGGGTGCAAAGCAAGACGTGAGCACATGGACGCAAAGGCACCATCACAGGGGCATGACGTGATCTGTTGTTCATGGGCGCAAGTTTGGTGACGCACCTGGAGCTTGCGGTGCTGTTCACGAAGCAAGTCAACATGTGACGTCTGCTGCTGCTGCTGCTGCTGGCTGGCGGCCAGTGATGTTGTTGATGATATTGATGGCGTGCCACTCATCGTCGCGGAAGGGGTTGGCTGTGGCAGTGGTGGCTTCTTTTGTTTGGGTTTGCAGAAACTTCAACCAAATCTTTAATGAATCGCCAACAAGTGAGTGTGTGTGGATGTGTGTGTGTGTGTGTGTGTGTGTGAGTGGATGTGTGTGAGTGTGTGTGAGTGACATGTTAAAAGCCAATCTCCTCATCGCGCGGGAACTTGGTGGTGTAGCGGGCCAGCGCCCAGAGCGGGAAGATGTTCTTGAAGTTGCTGTGATGTGTGATGCGTGATGTGTGATGTGTGATGTGTGATGTGTGCGTGTGTGAGTGCATGATTGTGGAACAACGCAACGTCAAGAAATGAGCGTTGGCGTGGGAGAAAGAGGTCAACACCACACGCGTGCATGCAGTTGCCTGCCTACCTGTAGCTGATCATGCAGTTCTTGTTGAAAACACCTAGAGGCAAGAGAAACAGCGGGATGGAGGAAAGGGGAAAAGAAGACAGGCGGAAATGTTAGCAGATGCATTGCGTCAGAGAAGGGGTGACATGTGCACACACGATGGATACAACACATGCAAACACACCACAACACTAAACACACCGCTGAT